AAGAAATGCACATGCACTGGCATTTATGCTTGACTTCCAAGATTAGGTACTAGACAAAATGACAGATATAAGAATTTTTACATTGATTTATACAAATGGTTTCTTCAAATTTTATTTATTGGAGAAAATTTTTTTTAATCATTATTTCATATGATTTCACCTTTTTTTAGAAAGAACGTTGTATTTGGAGCAAGTGGGAAGTGATTATGTACTTTGGTATTCCTGTATGAAGGGTTTAATTGTGCTTGGTCAGGTATGTGTTCACCTGGGCTTGACTGTACTGATTCTAGATTGACATAATAGAACAAAGCACAAAAGAACAAAAGAGAAGTACAGCACAGGAACAGGCCCTTTGGCCCTCCAATCCTGTGCCCATCATCACTCCCTAACTAAGCTAAAAAACAAACCTTCTGCCCTTATGCAGTCTGTATCTTCTATTCCCTCCTTGTTCATGTAACCATCAAGATGTCTCTTAAATGTCACCAACATGCCTGCTTTCACCATCTCTTCTAGCAGTGCCTCCAGAGTCCTACCACTCTCTGCGTTAAAAACTTCCCTCGCACATCTCCGTTAAACTTTCCCCCTCTCACCTTGAACCTGTCCCCCCCTTGTAATTGACGCTTCAATATTTGGAAAAAGCCTCTCACTATCCACCCTAGCTATGCCTCTCATAATTTTGTAGACGTCTGTCAGGTCTCCTCTCAGCCACTATCTTTCCAGTGAAATCAATCCTAGTCTTTTTAACCGTTCCTCATAGTCAATGCCCTCGAGACCAGGCAACATCCTGGTGAACCTTCTCCGTACTCTCTCCAAAGCTTTCACGACCTTCAGGTAGTATGGCAACCAAAACTGCACGCAATACTCCAAATGCAGCCTAACAAGGGTTTTATATAGCTGCAACATGGTTTGCCAACTCTTGTACTCCACGCCCTGGGCGATGAAGGCAAGCATGTCATATGCCTTCTTAATCACCTTGGCCACCTGTGTTGCCACTTTTAGGGAACTGTGAATCTGTATGCACAGATCCATCTGTATGTTAATGTTCCTAAGGGTTCTGCCATTTACAATACAATTCAAAACTAACTTTGATCCTCCAAAATGCATCACCTTGCATTTGTCTGGATTAAACGCCATCTGCCATTTCTGTGCCCAAGTGTCCAATCTATTGTCGGCACTATCAGCAACTCCACGAATCTGCTGTCACCTGCAAACTTACTAATCAGACCACCCAGATCATTTATATATATGACAAACAACACAGAACCAAAGACTGATGAATGTTACACTTCTGTTAACAATGTTGGTTGAGCAAACTTTCAGCTTTAATGAGAAATGAAACTGACCAAGAACATGTTGTTCAGTCTCAGCATGAAGGATCAAGTATTTCTGCAGAAATTAATGAGGCACCAGAGCCTGATCAGTGATAGCTTGGATGATACTGATCCAGGTCAGTTAGCATCATGCTAGTACTATGAGCCAGGGCATCTGGTTGACTTTTACGCTGTGGTCTGATGAATGGAATGCTTGCAAAATCATGTTAATATTTTGAAATGTCTTAACAGAAGAGCAACTGCGTGCTAGACTTCTCGATATGTTCTATAAATTTATTGTTTGATAAAGTGACTGACTGGGTTGCAGCATTCCACTTCAAAATGCACTGAAAAGTCCTGTGCCATATTCTTACCCTGGAACTAAATGCTGAACGTTTAATTACAGTACCTGTACCTGTACCTTCAGTGACTCTGCGATTACGTTTTTTAGAGGTAACTGTCATGTAACATTAAAACAGCAGCAGGAATATACCAAGAACACCCAATTACGAAAAAGAGGTTGCACTGAATTTTCAGTCTCCCTGCACAGCAGAAATACAAAGGTAGTGACCTGAAAATGAAGTGCAAAAACTTACTACACATTGCTGATATTACTGGTATATTGCTGGGTGTCTCTGAGTAGGCACCCAGCCAACTAATCGGAAATATTTAAAATGGTATGCTATGATCTCGATATACAAGCCTTGTTATATTTTAGACTGCATTCTATTATTTTCCCTTTCACTGATGTTAAACTAATAGACTCATAGATTCCTAACTGAGTTGTTTCATCCAGATGCCACCTTTGCCTTCTTTCAGTCCTATACAGTCTGATCAGTACCTAATCAGTCCCCAGGATGATAGCTAATGCTACACAATTTTCCATTGTTGCTTCTGGCTCATCGTTTGAGCTAGGTGTTTAAGTGTTAAGTGTTAATACTTTATTCAGTACACTGCAATGCTGATTTCAAAATCCTGTAGGATATAGTGTATACTTAAGTACTTGGATTAAACATTAATAGTTATGTTATCATCTCTAGTGAATACTTGTAAAACAATTATATAAACTACTTTATCATATTGAATTTTCCTGCTACTTTTATAACTATAACTGCTCTCATTGCCTTTAATTTTTGAGCCTGAATTCATATCTAGGATTTTCTTTGCATTTATCTCGTGATAGCAGATTTCTGTATCCCTCCTATTATTTTTCTCTTCTAAGTTCAATCACACCTCATCAGGATGGGTGAAGCGTCCCGACCTGAAACATTGACTTTCCTGCTCCTCCGATGCTGCCTGACCTGTTGGGTTCCTCCATCTCCACACTGTATTGAAATAAAAAATATGAAATATGGCTACTTACTATTAATAAAATACTAGAGACAGCAACTAATTTCAGCATGCATTTTTGTTGCAAATTTGAAATGCCTGGGTAACCTAATTTAGTTTTATTTATGCAGCTTCACAATTAGTCTTGATGCAGTACTCACATTGTTAGTAAGTGTAGTGAATTTCTGGTTGAATTGCCTGAAATATATGCCATGTCATTTGTTCCTCACAGCTGGAGCACTTTTCCCAAAAGACCTAATTCCAGCTATGTATTCAAGTTGTTTTCCCAGGGGAGAGGGATGGAAACAAAGTAATGTTCTTTGTTTCAATTTGACATCACTTTCTGTTCAGTCTTACTATTACCTCTTCAGTAGAGCTATGTTCTGTTAGATTCAGGGAAGGTTCTATTAGGTTGGAAAACAGTGAATGTATCACCTTTACTCAAAAAGAGAGATAGACAGGAAGCAGGAAGCAAAAGGCCAGTTAGTTTAACATAAATCGGAGGAAAGATGTTAGATGCTATTATAAAGACTGTATTGGAATGCACTTGGAAAAAGACATGATTATCGGACAGAGTCAACGTGGTTGTGTGAAAGGGGAAACAATTTTAACCAACTTATTGGAGTTCTTTGAAGAGGTAATATGTTGTTGATAAACTGGAACTGGTGGATATACTGTATGTAGGTTTCTAGCAGACATTTTAAAAAGTTATTGAATAAGTTAAAGCTCTTGGTGCAGTGAGGAGGGGTGGTCGGTGAATGGGAACACTTGGTATGGATATTAGATTGGCTACTAGGAAATACAGAGTAAACATAAGTTTTCAATTTCTGCTTAGAAAGATCTAATGAATGATATGCCATAGGGCTCAGTGCTGGAGCCTCAACCTTTTATAATTTATATAAATGACCTAGATTGAAGCTATGGTCGATAATTTTGCTGATGACCCAAAGATGTAAAAGTAAACGGCAAAGAGGGCATTAGGCTATGAAGGGAAATAGATAGGTTAAGTGATCGGGCAAAGATCTGGTAAATGGAGTATAGTGTGAGAAATTGTCAAGGAAGAATATAAAAAATCTAAATGGTGAGAAATTGCAGAGATTTCAGATTCAAAGGGATTTGGTTGTTTGAGAGCATGAATTGCAAAATGTTAATATGCAATGCTTCAAGCAATTAGGAAAGCTCATAAAATATTATCATTTATTGCAAAAGGAATTAACTACAAGAATAGGGATGCTCGGAATCATTTATACAATGCATTGGTGAGACCATATCTGGAGTGCTGTGTATTGTATCAGTCTCCTTATTTAAGGATGTAAATGTATTGAAAGCAATCAGAGAAAGTTTACTAGACTAATACCTGGATGAGCCTGTTGTCTTATGAGGTCATGTTGAACAGACTAGGCTAGTATCTGCTGGTGTTTAGAAGAGTAAGAAGTGACTTGATTTAAATATACTAAATCTTTAGGGTTCTTGACAGGATGAAGATGGAAAGGACATTTCCTCTTGTTGGAGAATATGGAACTAGGGATCACAATTCACAAATAAGGGATTGTCCTTTTAAGACAGAGATGAGGATAATTGTTTTTTCTCACAGAGGATCTTCAGCCTTTGGAACTCTCTTCCTCAGTAAGCAGTGAAAAGCAGTCTTTGAATATTTTTAAGGCAGGGTGGATGGATTTGTGATAAATGAGTGGGTGAAATGTGATTAGGGGTAGGCAGGAATGGTCTTACTGAATGATTGACAAGGCTCCTGGTCCCAAATGTCCTACTCGAGCTCCTAATTCAAATGTCTGTCTATAAACAACGTCAGACCTCTGCCAGTGATTGTTTGAATAATATACTGGTAACCAAAATGCACCAAACAGCAGGAAAATTAGTTGATTGTTCTCCAAGAGAATAATGCTTGCCATCAGACCCCAAATGGTAAAAGATGCAAGTTCTTTTCCTTCATCACCACAAAACAATATGAACACATTTTGATAGTTTTTTTTTACATTTTAATGCTTTAAAGAAGGTAATATGAATATGTCTGAAAGGTTGTATTTTTGGTTTGTTCAGAGAACAAAATTATTGGTGTAGTGACTTCATAAAGAAAATGGTTTGGCTCAGGAACTTTAAAAGTAAAAGGAAATTGAAAGGGGACTTTAAAAAAGCACAGATGCCAGCCAATGAAATGCAAGGCATTAATCTTGTAATAAAATATGATTATACACTTTTTAATACCAGCTTGAATTCTATCATTCAGTTTGACATCTGGCGTTTTTGGATACTAGGGAGAGAATGTGTATAACATCTTCAAAATGGCAAATTTGAAAAGCAATGAGGTTTTAATTAGCATTCCTTGTTTTGTTTCCTTTGCAGAGGCTCAAAGCAGCTCTCAGTCAGCAGCCTACGGCTTTGTCAAATGGAAATATGAACATGATGGGTCAAGTAATGGAGATGATGACATCCAGGCAGGAGCAGGCACCACAGCCACACCATCACATGCACTCACATCAGCATCAGCCACCTCCTCATCATCCTTTCACACATCAACATCATCCTCACCATCACCAGCAAAACCACCCCCATTCTCATCCACACCTACACACAAACCCACCACAACACCAGACCCCTCCGCTTCAACCTCTAACCACCGGAACACAAAGTCAGGTAAATCATCTAAGGATATGTATAGACTGTATTACAGTTTTGTGGCTGGAAAATGATACAGAAAGAAACAAACAATGATTATACTGTCTATTTTCTATTATTAATGTCAATAAAATAGGAATATAAATCATCTCCACTACTGAAAGACAAGTACAAGGTGTATTTTGTATTACAATTTATCAACACCTTCACACATGGAGATATGCCTAAATAAAAACATAGGGAATGTGTTTTTCCATTTCATTTCTGTAGCACCACCATCATGAAGGTTTACTCTAGTTGGTATTTCTTGTAAAATTTGGGTGCATGCTTTCTAAAGATAACTTTTGGGGTAAATCCACACCTTGGCCCAGACTAAGCGGGAAGAAAAATAATCAAATCAGCCATAATGGCAGACAAGGCTCATGGGCCAGAATATTCTACTCCAGCTCCTAATTCACATGTCTGTCTGTAAATATTGTCAGACCTCTGCTAGCTGTTACTTAAATAGTGTACTTGTAACCAAAATGAACCAAACAGCAGGATCACAAAAATGGAAAAAAATGCAAGTGATTTTTTTCTTTCATCACAACAATATGAACATATTTGGATGGTTTCTTTCTACATTTTAATGCTGTAGAAGGCAACATGAATATATTTGAAAGGTTGCATTTCTGTACTCAGAGAACACAATTATTGGTTCAGTGACTTTAAAAAGAAACTGGTTTGGCTCAGAATCTTTAAAAGCAAAAGAAAATTGATTAGGGACTTTTTAAAACAAAAGCACAAATGCCAGCCAATGAAATGCAAAACATTAATCTTATAATGAAGGATGATTACTTGCCTTTAGTACCAGCATCACTTCTGTCATTTACTTTGTCATTTGAAGTTTTGGATACTAGGGAGAGGATGTATATAATGGAGCACTAGAAATTGACCTCCAGGCAACACTGGCCCGACTGGACAAGTTAATTTTAGACTGTTTGCCTCACCAACAAAAGTCCCCAGGTGTGTTTGTTTTACAAGGTGGGTTGATGGAACAAGCAACAGTGGGTGGGAGAGATGATCCCCAGGACTGTAGAATCAGGAGGAGTACTCCTGTTTATCAGAGCTCCACAGAAAGCAATGAAAGTTCTTTGCTTGAGCTGGTGGCTGCTGCAGCTATGGAGATTCCTGAACAGAACGAGCCTGTCACCTGCCCAGCTGACCACCGGTGATGAACTTTGCATTGGGCTTCTCCATCTGGTGTAAAGCCCTTTATTAATATTTTCCAGAGCATGTCGACCTGGGACATGGAACCAAGCACAGCCATTCAACCCCTTGAGTCTGCTCAACCATCCAGTTAGAACGTAGCTGATTTGTACCTGAACTCCAACTATCCACTTGGGTTCTATGAGCCGCCTTAAAAAAAAAACTTTCAATATTGTTAGGAAATTTTTATTTAAATGCATTTTACCAACTTTTTGAGGGAGAGTTTTCCAGATTCCTTTCGTGTGTAAAGCAGTGCTTTCTTGCATCATCCTTGAATGAGATCACTCTAACGTTAAGGCTATGCCCCATTTTTTGAACTCCTCCACTAGAGGAGATAATTTCTCTCTCATCTACCAAATCAAATCCTTTAATGACTTCAATTAGATCTTCCTGATCAACTTGTATACTCAAGGGAAGTACAAGGCTTATCTGTGCAAGTAGTCCTCGTAATTTACCTTTACAGCCATAGCTCCACCGCTTACCTGATAGCCTTACATCAATTTTAGACCCATGAGACATATTGCAAAGCATTATGCTTTTTATCCTTCATGAAACTACTATATAAAATATTCACCAATGAGTGTTTTGTGTCCTGGCACTGACAAAGACAGATGCAGATAAAGTTCTTTATTGGGAACTGTTCCTCACATTGCAGCATTTTAAGATTTAAGGACAGATTTGTTGAAACAAAGCAAATGATTGTGAATTGGAAATAGAGCAAAAATTTATCTGTCTAATTGTCTGATTTAGATTTTTATTTAGTATCATCTTAATCACTTTATCCTTTGTATAACCAAGCACTGAGAAGGTTAATTGTCTAAGTATTGATAGATATTCCTGTTTTAGAAATATATTTCCCTGCTAAATAATTTTGATATTTTAACATTCCCAGTAAAAATCATTACAACTATTTTCCACCCATCAATTTTATGAAATACAAATTAACAGTGGTAATGGCAGAAAACCAGCCAGTCACAACCTAATTACTGTTGTTTTTATCAAGCATCTAAATTAACATATAACCAGTAGATTTGGTGAAAATGTATTTTGTCCAGGTATGGAGTGAGCAAAAAAGAATTAAAAATGGATTAATGATTTTTCAAGTCTGCATATCAACCATTCCTTCTGACACAGCTTGAGTCCAGTTGCAAGCTTGCTACTCTTAATATGGAAAGAGTTGATATGTACCAAGATTGAATCTAGGTTTGAAGGAAATAAAATGATTCATACATTTCTCACCTTTCACTACTCATGCTTATTAGTTTCAATGGATGGAAAAGAGTTGACATTCTATGTCTGCAAACCTTCTTCTACACTCCTTAGACAAACACAGACATTGGGCATGATTTTTGTTGGAGTTATACTAACTCTCTGGCATAGCTCCAGCAGACAGGGTAGGAAATGAGTCTGGGAGTAGCTCCACTGGATCTCCACCAAATGAAGTTCTTCCAGCAGATGTGATGGGCATGGAGAAAGCATCCACCCTAATATGAAGAGATATATTCAAACCAGATGCAAATTACATGCACTGTTGCTTTGATAATAGGGGAGAATATTCAAAAGTTAAAGGGGTGTCTTTTCAAAAAAAAACATTGGTTTCTGATGTCTTCCTCTGCCATCCATGCTGAGATGCCGCTGTCTGGGAAGGAGTGGAAGGGGATGTTGCAGTGTGGGCAGTGTATACTAACAGTATGCTGAAATTATTGCAGATTTTAAAGTGGGAAACAATTGGGCTCAGAGTGTTTAAATGTTTCCTGTGAGTAGGAGGATGTGTGGAAGAGGCACAGAATGTGCCTACCGTCTCTTGAAAAGATGCCTGTACATGAACACGGCCAGCTTTGGGACGTAGGCACACATTGCTGGAATTTTTCCAGCACTGCAGAGGCAGGATTTTGGGTACACAGAAATTTGGAAAAAGGAGCCCTGGGGCCAGCTCGCCAGTATATTCCCAACACTGTACAGCAAGGGCGATTTCTCTAGCAGCAGCAGAAAGTTGATCCAGGTATTTAATATAAAATTGGCCCTTATTTCAACAGTGCAGTGACACTTTCCATACATAACATGGATTCCATGCAATATCTGGAACTCATCATTTAAGTGGAGGCAAAATCACAGCAAGAAGAGATTGTTCTCCGAATCTGACAGGCATTCAAGTCAACAAAGGAGCCAAATGACAATGTTAATGGCAAAGCTAAAATAAATTTTAAAAATTAATTAGGTAAATTAAAAGGAAGAATGACAGATATAAATGTAGGGAGAAACCTGAAGGAATTCATTGGACTGAACACAGAGCATGTGAATGTAAATGTACAGAATATGACGAGGATGATCAATTGTAAAAACTATAACTGGACATACTAACTTACTGTAATATTTTTTGTTAGTAGTGAAATACTAAGAAGGTAGAGAAGGTAAACAAAGCAAAATCTGAGGATGAGCTCAGGATAATTAGTGTAATAAATGATTCCTTTCCCAGGAAGAGGTAATGAGCACCATGCTGTTCCTCAGTAGCAACAGTCCAAGTAGAACTAACTTCAGCATAAATCAGCTGGAAGTCCAAGACAGACTGAAAAGAGTTCAAAACAAATGATCCTCCATAAATAGGTTCTTTCTCTAGTGATAATGAGGTAGCTAAGGGAGCAACTACGTGAAACATTGGTGGTAATTTTTGAGGGAACCAATCATTACTGTGTAGGCTGGCAATGTCCGTTTAAATAGAACATGCACAACCATGTTGCCAATGCAGTCACCCTCCTACCATCCCTAATTGGATGATTAACATGCACACAGTGGGCCAGATCTTCAACTTCACGGTGAGTAGTAGAAGTCAGAAAAATTGCCACCTTCAAATGCCTGCCTCAGAGTAATACCAACACTGATATTACAGTTGTCAATGCCAGCGGTGGGTGATTGGGTGTCAGTTGCAGTTGGCCCAGCTGACCCTGGAGGAGGTTTTGACACCACACAGAGAGCTGCCAAGTGTGGAGGTGGGCTGCTTAAAAGGCCTACCTTAGGGCTATGGGACCTCATCCAAACTGTAATAAACAAGAGGCCCCACAGCCTCACCCTTCACATGCCCCTGTCTACACACACACGCGCACATACACACACACACTCCCTATGCCCTCATACCAAGAAATGCCCCCATCTCTCACCCACCCCAACCATGACCCATGACATGCCATATGCTAAGGTCTGGCGTTTCACCAACTATGCACTGTATTGAAGAGGTGAATGCTATTGTGACAGTTGAATGTGTAAACAATAGCTTTTAAGAAAAAGGAAAACATTCATAACTTTCCATTATGTTAAAACAGACTTCATTCATTATGGGGCAATGAAAGTGTCAGTCATCCAGACCCTTTAATGTTCCAATGTCTAAAACTTCAAGACATTTGAAAACACTTAACCTTGTGTAAACAAACATTGTGAAATTGAAATTGTGAAATCAGACGACGAGGCAGCAAATCAAGCAAACAAGGGCTCAGTTGTTTCAGCACACTAATGGTTGTCCAGACTCTCTGCCAACCATCATCATGTATTCTTGTTTTGGGAGGGGGTGGTGTGGCATGATGCAATGAAAAGGTTGCCAGGAAGTGTTTATCTTGGTATCTTGGTTTATCAGGGCTTGAGGGGCCATGGGGAGGTTTAGGGGGGCATGTGTTGGCATAATAGCATGGTGAGGACCTTTTACTTTCAAAAGTTTCCCTCTTGCAGACAACATTTTACAAAACCTCTGAGGTGCCATGAATCAGAACACTTTGAAAAGCTAGTGCAACTCCAAGAAAATTGTAGAGCAGTAGGTTATGCTTATCTCCACAATAGAACAGGCCAGGTCACTTATACTGGGTGTGTGTTTACAACCTAAGTGCTTCTGCATCCTTAAAAAGCCCTCCTGAAATTAAGCAAACTCTGGAATGTTGTAAGGAAACCAAGAATTGTGTCCCAGAAACCATTTTGAAAGGGGTCCCCAGTCAAAGCAACTCAACAAAAATCCATTTCAGCAAAAATTTAACTAGATACATCAATCGGCCACCTCCCATAATATCATACTGGAGGGCACACTGCCAACATAAATTAAGTTCTGCAATATTTTCCACATACGGTGGAGAATGGCTTTTTCACAGATGGGGCCTTTTCTGTTCTGTTGTACATTGTAGAAAAAGGATTAAGATCAGAATGAAATTCTTAGATGAGATTGCAATCACAGTCATGGAATTCCTGTCTCATGTAGAGCAGCTGATAGGTCTGGTTAGTTGGAATTTATTCAACTTATGCTTTGTGTTTTAGATTTGATGTTTGATGTTTGCTTGCAGGTCTCACCTGGAACACAGCAGATGCAGTCTCCACAGTCAGGGCACCCAACTCCAACTAGTGGAGGCCGCAGAAGAAGGGTTGTAGATGAAGATCCTGATGAAAGGCGGAGGAAGTTTCTGGAAAGAAATCGCGCAGCAGCAACACGGTGCAGACAGAAGAGAAAAGTGTGGGTGTTGTCATTGGAAAAGAAAGCAGAGGAGCTCACACAAACCAATATGCAACTTCAGGTATAACACTTTCTTAAAAATCACAGTAGCAGAGTCTTCTTGAAAAATGCTTTTTATATTGTTTGAATTGCAACGTTTAATGTGATTTTCTAATCCTACCTTTGACAGGTATAGGATTATTTGTTATTGGTTCCAAAGCCACCTGACCACCATTCTAGAAATATTCATTGAGAACACAGCATAACATGGCACCTTTTTTCTTTATTGTACAAACATTTTGTGTTAGGTCTCCTGTTTCTTCTTCACTCTCTAAATGAATTAATAAACTGCACACAAGTGTTAAAGTTTACTGTGCAATATTACAAACAATCCTATTTATGCGAAATTGCTGTACCTCACTTCTTAATGAAAATGTCACCTCATTCCAAATGATAAATAAACATTTTTGTGAAAGTAATGAACGTAAGGTCAAAACACATTTAATAAACACAAATAATAAGTCACAATTTTGGCTCGAGATGGTGAAGGTATCATTTATTACTTACTTACTTTTAGCAAACTTGAGTTAACATTGAAAACTTATTCTCTTTCTGACAAAGTCACAAGTCACTTTTAGGAGAAGAAGCAATGTATGTTGGTTTATGTCTGACTTATAATGTCGTTTCATGTATTAACTAAATGTATTTATGTAAATGTGTATTCAGACTTGAATGGTGTCTTACCACTTCAAAGAAGTTTACAACAGGCTTTTTATTACACAGCTGCTTGATCTTGAAATTCAGGGGTTCAGAAAAATGAGAACATTTGGGTTTAGTTTTGTCAGCATATGTGTGGTAGGTTCTGTTGATTGACTGCAGCAGCAGAATTGTGTAATCAGCAAATGAACAGCTCAATGAAAGGTCTAAACACTGGTTCAATCATATGTTGACCTGAATTATATGAGGTCATTTTTATCACCCAAAATGGACAAATTTGAGCCAGATAGGAGTTAAAAAGTTATAATTCTGATTCAAAACCCCTCCCTCCACCTTCACAATAATAACAAAGGCTGGAAAGCTCCAATTTGCTGTCAGTAGACATGTCGTTCATTAAAATCTTTTTTAAAAAATTTTTAAAAATATTTTTAAACCTTGCTAACTGAATCACCCTTTGAAAACCTGATAGTTGAGAGAAGAAAGAGTTGAATTTATTAGGCAAGTGTTTAACAATAGTACTTTTGGGCCAGAAGGAGCAGGAGGGTTTCTACCAGCTTAACCAGCTACCCAGTAAAGCCCACATTATCTGTTTCTGCCATTCCACCTCCCAATCACCATCTCACCCTATCTCCGTCCCTATCCAAGCTCTGCTGCTTCTTTCTGCTGCAGGTTTTTTTGGCTGAAAGATAGCCAGACAATTAGTCTGGCTGTCAGATTGGAAGAAGTTTAAACGTGAGCAGGTAAAGCTGAAGGATGTTCCATGCTCCTGGGTTTCCTGTCAAAAACTCCTTTCTAGTCCCCATGCATGCTCCTTGTAAATATTAGGGTCATAAAGTCATGAAGGCCAGTTTTAACTGGCAAGGACACTATGGTGTTAGCTCTAAAATAGCTGTGCTGCACTTGTCACCTTGTTTCTATTGTGATGCTTGCTGCTACTAGATTGCCCAGGATCATCTTCTGGAGGACATGGCTGAATCGGGTGAGCGCCTCATTATTACACCTAACTTGATGCCTCATGATGTGCATCTAAAACAAATTTGAATCACAATTGAAGGTAATGTGGGCTGTTCGTATTCTGACCTGTTATAGCAGGTATAAAGCTGAAATGGTAGAAAAGTTTGAAAAAGTTAAGTACAAAATTACACCCACTGGTATCCTAGGGTATCCCCTTCATGCTAAGTCTCTCATCCCTAGAACTGCCTGTGTGCCTCTGCACTTTTGCTGTCTAATTGTGCCAGTCAGAAGCTGGAGTTCACCAATAAGACATTGTTTGAGGCCTGTAACTCATTATGGGCATTGATATGAGGCCAGATTCTCAGACTAGTTCAGGATTCCAAAAATCTCTCCCAACAATATTATGCAAGACTCCTCCTTTTGCATTTATCTAGTATTTTTTCCCACCCACCAGATGTCTCAAAATGTTTTACAGCCAATTATGTGTCCTTGACGTGTAGTCATATTGTAATGCAGGAAGTGTTGCAGCCAGTATGTACACAGCAAACTCCCAAAGCAATGTGATAATGACCAAATAACCTATTCTTGTGATGTTGATTAAGGGATACATATTGGCCAGAACACTGGAGATAACTCCACTGCCCTTCTTCAGACTAGTGCCATGGTATCTTTTACACCTACCAAAGCAGGAAAATGGGGTCTGTAACATCTTATCCAAAAGACAGCACCTGCACACTGCTGGATTGGAGTGCTGGCTTTGATGATTATATTCAAGTCCTGGATTGGGTATGAACACAGAACACTGTAATTCAGAGACTAAAATGCTACCCCCTGAGTGGCAGTTTATATAATTATTGGAAACCATCACTGTACAAGTGCTTCCACCTGCATTCAATGGTTTTGTAAGTAGCAATGACTAAAGGATTGAAATTTTCTGTTGATTTTGGTTATTGTGGTTCAGAAAAATAACTTTTTGATATATTTTAGCATCTCCTTGTTCTGCAATCAAGCTGCAATCAAAGTTTCACCTAGCCAAGGCATCAAAAATATTAGTTTCCTTCTAGTTTTCTTGAGCGAAGTGCTTGTAGATGTCCAGTTGTTGTGAAAAAACACTATAAAATGCAAATGTTTCTTTTATTTTAATTTTTATTTCTGGGGAGAGGGGTTTTTCATTTAAAGCAGTTTCAAGCATTTTTGGCCTGGGTGTCTTGACCTGTGGGTTTGTGACTGCCAAAATCTATTGTGCACAACATTTTAGCAGAACAGGGATAATGCCCTGATATTGACAGGAAAATAATATCATAGGAGGCACTGTTTTGCTTTCAGGAAATCTGGAAGAATAGGTTTCCCCCATGTATTTACGAATGTAACAACAGAATCTGATTGAAAATTTCCACATTGATAAATTGACAAATAGTTGATTTTTGATAAAATTGATGTAGGTTGGGTTTAATTTTGAGACTTTTGGCATTTTTCGTTCTATGCAAGTGAAACCCACTTGATTTTGGGGGGGTGCTGGTGTTAAAATTACCACCAATAATGCAACAGTTTCAGATGGAACTGAACACAAGGTTTTGGAGTGAAAAGCTTCAAATTATTCACATTTGTCAAATGTATTCACAGAATGAGGTCTCTCTCTTGAAGAATGAGGTGACACAGCTGAAGCAACTGTTGTTGACGCATAAAGACTGTCCAATCACAACAATGCAAGAGGAGACACAAAGCTACCTGAGTAAGTAAAACTCAACTCATCCAAAAAAAATTGAAGAGAATTTTCAGCTTATGACTGGCACTTAATTTCAGAGTGGCTGATGTACCAATTTTCCATTAAAATTGGTGAGTGTTATGATAATCTGCAACATTAGACCATGCCCCTGTGGTAAATTGAAAATTATCCCCAGTGGTTTTAAATGGTGTGTCTTTGAGTGTTTCAATAATCGAATTATTAAGTACTTATAAATAACATGACTGTATATTTTATGCCACATTGGAGTTTCAAGTCACAGTAGAGGTCTGAGTCACATTGCTGAGTTTATCTAGCATTTTCTGTTTTTATTTTAACATCAGTGGGATGTGTTCCTTGCCAACTATTCAGGTGATGGAGTGGTAAACCTCTGCACCCCACTCCTATCTGAACAATCCCTGCTTCACTCTACTAGTGGTTAAAAGGTATCACACAGCATGGTACTTTTTCTAGCAGGCAACAAACTCGTATCCCTCCTTAAAATAGCCAGTAAACCTGACAAGATCAGAATGGAACTATAAAACATCAATACACCCAGCACTTCATAAAGTTCAGGATGTCTGCCATACAGGTATCCCCTCAGCCCAGCCAAACTCCAGGAATTATCCTCAAATTATCCCAATCCCCAAATATTGTGTAATTCCCAATATCTGTTAACAACAGCCCTTAACTGCCAATGTATTCTTGTGTCTGTACCTTATGGCAAACAACAATAACTTCACAAAACATAAGCATATATTCTGTTTTTTCTTAAAGAAGACAAAAATTCATTCACAATGGAAAAATACACAATATGATGTACATAAAGATGTGGTTCCAAGGGAACATGGTGTTTGTTGAATTTGGGATCCTAGTAAATATACTATTCTGTGAATTTGGGAGGTGAATGTAGAAATTTCATCTTTTGTATCTGTTATCAAGACTAATACCACTTTATATAAAAATGTAGCAGGGCAAAATTCTTTAGGCTCCAAAAACATGTTGAAACATGATGCACATTTATCCATTGCTTCTGATTATGGCAATATACAAACCTCATGCTGCCCAGTCATTTAAATGATTCCTTCCCCTCCTCCTTCCTTATCTTCTTTCTCCACCTTCTCCTTCCTTCCTTCCTTCCTTTCCCACCTTACTCTGCTCATGGTAACCCCACTTATGTGTTTTTCTCCTTTCAGACATCTAAGTACTTCAATCTTGCTAGGACATTAGCGTGAGAGGAAGAGGCACAGAAAGACACTAATTTAAAAAAACTGTCATTCACTGTCACCCTGAATTACCAACTTAAAATTCACATTGGTGTCACAGCTTTCTGATAGCATAAAGGGAATGTACCATCTGCAGTTTAGCCACCACAGTGAACCAGACGACGGCTAGTGGGCAATAAGAACATTTAGAGATAGGATCTGCCAATGGCATCCACTGGCAGGACAGTGGTTAGTGCTCATGAACCTGGAAAAGTCAAGCACTGACTCGGCAAAGGGCTTTGTCTGGTGCTCGGAGTCTGTCCGTCCTCTCCAGAATGAAAGTAGAGTGTGCTCCTTGAGAACCTTTGTTGAACTATCCATGGTGGGGCCAATCTCCGGTGCAGCACAAGCAGAAGGCATCCAGTGTCTGTGTGTTTCATTGGAAGTTCAATCTGCTTTCGTGCCAACTCAACTTGCAGTCATTCAGGTTCACGTTGCAACACCTACTATAGATACCAAAGTTCAAATGTCTTGTGGGGGTGTCACAGCAATCTAAAATCCAGTCCACCAACTCATTACTGTTACGTACTGAGAGACTGCTCCAGGCAGTGGCACTTGTACTGTGCAGCATGAACAGTTCTCTCTAAGGATGACAGCATTCATCCTCTCACCACTCTCACTTTGCCAGTGCCCTTGCTGTTGCCTATCCTCCTGCCATTTCTTCCAGCTTTCCACCAGCTATGTTGCAGCCACAGAATTAGCACTGTGTACAATAAACAAAGACACATGGAAGACAGACAATAAATAAATAAATGGAAGAGCTAGTTAAACTTTTGAATGAAATCTAGGATTAGTTGCTTTCTCAGTTTGGAATGTCTCTTTTGTGGTGGTTTCTTCTGTCTTGTTGTCAAGTGGACACTGTAATGTTCAACGGGAAAGGGAAAGTAAGGCGTGGGATTGTCAGTGAATGAGGTACTGCTGACAGAGAAGTCATTTGTGGACAGCCCAGTCAGAAAGGGAATATTCAGGTTTCTTCCTCCCTTTGCCCCGACTTCTCTTGTTCAACATGTCACTGTCTGTCCAATGAAAAAAGATCAAGCTGTAATGATGGTAAGGTTGTGCAGCTTGCAGAAGATAACAACAAATCTTGAATCCCCCGCTGACAAGTACTGCAGAGCTCCTCTGGAGGATTCCAGGTGGAGGAAGAAATTTAAATCAACCCACTGGATTGTTCAATCACATTTTATATGAGAGCGTGGTTTTCATGATTGACAGGTAGCCCTTATTGCCCAATAGCCACCCTCTAGTTGTTGTTATGGCTGAAGTGGCAGATGATAAGGAAACCTGTTGAAGAATGAAGGCATCCTGAGTTCTGCCAGAATGCTGAGCATTGACCTGTATATGCTAAATCTGACACCAGATGACTAAAGGAGTGGAATCTCTTCCAGTAGCAGTACATCTCAAAATTAACATGTGGTGTCTGCAAAATGACATGTTTGCAGTCAGTGGCACCTTACACCATGGGGAGCCTGCAATAAAATTGTGCATTCCATCTGTTTCTCTCTAGGCAGAGAGAACGAAATGCATTCAGTTCTCTTTGTGTACAGGACCTTTGTGACTTCTCTTATGTAACAGTAAATGGCAAAGTCGGAGATATTGTAATTATCTCCTCTTCCTGCCTAAAAGGAGCCCAATGCTTTAAAGTAATGATAATGGCATCCCTTGTCCTATCCTAAAGCTACAGTGGCAGACCTTCGATTACCTCCTTAGTTAATCTCTGAGGCATTGTTTCTTGCTAAAGTTGAGGTAGGAGTTCGAAGAATGGCTTCATGAGGATCTTTGAATGAATGGGCCTCCTGGTGAGATCTCTGTTTCCCTATTCCTCCTTCGTCTTTGAGAATGTTCTCCTCAATGTCACTTATGCCTATGTCATACTGCAGGCCTAGGGAGGATGCAAACTCCTGCACCATTGTCTGGAAGCAAGTGGTCTAAACAGAATTCTTGAAATCAGTCCCTAATACTTTAGAACCTGCCACTTCACCACTGGTGGACTTTATCAACTTTAAATAGTGTTACAAACACCACAGACTTCTACAAACCCAGTGATAGCCAATGGAGATCAGTCAGCAGCCAACCTGAAGGTAGATCATTTCAGATAGAGCTGATGAGGATCCTTCCTGATGCAGAATGCATATTTAGCTGTCTGTAAAATAAGAAAGGGCATGACTGGAGTGTTCAGCTCCACAATAGCAGAGCTGACATCAACTCAGCTGGCTCATTACTTCCTTGCTTATGAAGGACACAAGATGCTTTCTGGTGTTGCTCGGAGGAGGAGAGGCCGGTCTAGGCCCGAAACGTCAGCCTTCCTGCTCCTCTGATGCTGCTTGGCCTGCTGTGTTCATCCAGCTCTACACCTAGTTATCTCAGAGGCCAATAACTGTCCATTTAACGGCATCAAGCAGCTACTGCTGCTAATAACCAAGTGGTGCACAGTGGTACTCCAAGAGCCGATCATGACAAGGAAACCCCGGTGATGTTACTTGCAGGATCTTATTGGGGGAGGTTTCTGTGCAAAGGTACTTGATGCCGGATCAAACGATCTTGCTGTGGGAAATGGAAGTGTCCACGAAAGTACCCCTTCCTTTCTGCCAATTTTCTTTCACAACTCCCTCACTTGCACCCTCTGCCCTGTGATGGCTTTTCTAGCAGCACCCACCTTCAGCTGGATCCTTTCCCAATCTGAACCTCAGGTGAAGCTTAGTACCAGAAGCAGACACCTACTGTGCTGAGTACACAAGGCTTGCTGGCTCTACATTGATTGGTGCTCTCAACAAGCAGGACATTTGCCTAAGGGTCCTTGATTGTAGGGAAAATCTACCACTGGCCTATTAAGTGCCTGAGTGGCAAATAATGCAGTGAGATTTATCAAAAAGATGCATTACAGGGATCACTCAGGCACTCCAGCCAGTGTCTAAGACCACTGTCACCTCTGCAAGATTCTCAACTTTATTTCTAAATGAAAATGGCACCCATAGCGATAAAAATAAGGGAGCTATCCAAACAAATGTTTGCAGCCACAATGCACAATAAGTTGAAGAGCCTTTGAAAAAACATAATTGGTTAGAGTTTTTAGTTCAATCTTTTGGGTGACGAATCATATCAGAAATGTTAACCTACTTCCCTTTTAACCTTTGATCAGCATGCTCTATATTTACAGTGTTTCATTTCAGCTTTCCAGTACATATCTGGCATTTCTTCCCATTCTGTCAGTACACTTGAAGTAATGGCTGTTTTAAATTCAGTAGGAAATGTTATTCAGCTTAGCGAGGCATTTTGCAAAAGGAAAGTAATTTTAAAAGAATATACAGGTGGAATATAGTTCAGCAAATTCTATTTTGTGCCATACACTCTTCAAGCTGACCAGTCTGAAGCATGTTGTTTGAAAAAAAGAAGTGTTTTGAAAATCCTTTCAAACCATGTCTTGACCAACATTAATTCTGAGTGTTATTTTTTTCCCAGGTCCTGAGAACAGTCAGCCGGGAAGTCCCATCCCTGCTTGCTCTCAACAGCAAGTCATCCAGCACAATTCAATTAGCACTTCGACTGCTGTCAATGAGGTTGTAGGGAGCTCCACTCTCACCCAGCTCACCAATCAGAGAACAGACCTGAACCCCATCCTCTAAATACTGTCTTTCATCAGGAATGTGCTGGCAGAGAAAATAAAATCTTTCACTCCATTCAGGACTTTTGGAACATCAACGTAACCTTGGAATTAGATATAATTTTGAAAAAAAAAAGACAAATTGCTTTTCATTTTAATAGTTATCAAAATGCTCTTTTTTTTACTTTAGTTATGAAAAAGGGAAATATGCAATTAACGTGCTAATAGCTTGGGAATGCTTTGATGCTTTTCTCATAACTTGCTGGTACCAATTTGAAGGTTCTGCTAAAAAAAAATGTTTTGAACTTCTTGAATTTTATTACAATATATTTGTATATAGTCTTCATCTATTATCACCGGCAAGATTTAGCAATTTAACATGATTTGCAAATTAGCAAGTACATTGAGGCACCAAACAGTATGGCCACCACTAAAGGGAAGCCTCCAAAGTATACTATGGACATATCCCATAATGCAGCCTCTATTTCTTAAAATTGTTTATTTGCACTGAAAATCAAACTTTATGAATTGAGATTAAAGATGAGTTAATATGATCAGCACAACATATTGAAATTTCCATTATTTCAATATTGAGAAACAAGATATCATCTGAACTCCCTTCTCAATATGAGCCATTATGATGACTAAATTATAAGTTGTAATTTTCATGGTCTATGTCATATCTTAGTCTATTTTACAGACATAATTCCTCCATTTATATGAGTTCTTGTTTATCTAGCATCATCTTTTAAGATTCACAGTAAGAATGATCTAGTAAGCATCTCCATATGGTGTTTAGTTACATCTTGTTGACATTAGCCTCATAGATCAGACTTGAAGGCTACAACTATAGTGATTACACAATCACTAGTTTGTCTGAGCAAAATCTGCTGCTTAAATATTTCTGATATGTATTTTGGTAAGAGAATAGGGAAAGGAAGTCCCAGTTATGTCATGAATCTGCTTTTCTATCAAACTGAAAAACTATGTACAAAGCCAACTAGTTACAATTCTTCTTAAACCATCCCTATTTATTTGAAGCAACACGAAACAATTCAAAATAGTTATAATGTCTTGAAAAGTGTTAATGCTTTTTGAGACTAAAGCCTGGTAACTGGGAATTTTAAAGTAATTTGTACATGTTGGTATTTAGTTATTACTCAAAAAACATAGTGAGAGCAGAGGTATTTCAACAATTTGAATAGTTCAGTGAATAGATGATGAAATGCACCTTTAATTCAATCTTTATTTATTAATGAAAGCCACAGCTCACTAATGTTAAATTCGCCTTGACTGCCTCAATAATAATAAGCTCTATCACATGAAAGCTGGACCCACCTTCTATTGCCTAACCTGCAGCAACAATGTGAGTGATTTAAAGTCCATTTTAGAAATTCTTTGGAAATGGACCAGTTATGGCACAACATTGAATGAACGGTAATTGATTCCGCAGTCATGCACTCATGCCAAGGAACCACACTTGCAGGCAGTGCGGTTCAGAAAATCGTGGGTCTACAGCCCTGACTGTGGAACCTTACTTGCACTTAATGTAAGTGCCACTTCTTATTGGGAGGGGACAATCATGGCAATCATTTTTTAATCCAGAGCGGGCAGGCACGTAGGAGGGGTTTGTTGTATTGGCCAAAAGTATTTACAACTCCACCAAGGACATCTTGTATCCCATGCCTCATTTAAATTAAGTCATCCACTTTTTGCTGAGCTCAGCAGGCACCTCATCTCCCACCAAAACTGGCAGAGTGACAGAGGTACAGGAGGGAACAGAAAATGAAGTGGGACTGTTCCATTTAAACTCCTCTGCTGCTCTATGCCATAAAACAGAGCAAGTTAAATTTCCCCATGCAATTCGTCCCATCCTCCCTCTGTAACATTTGATGAGTGTACTGTGTCTCTGGAGGATGGACATCAGCCCTTTAGCCTTTTTCAGTCCTTTAGCCTATTTCTATTGACCTTCTTACTTTGTTTAAAAAAAAGCCATCTCCATATTTGGTGAAAATTATCACAATGCCAACTAGTGAAAGATCAAGTCTGGCAAGTTAAAATCTAGGCACCAATTTGTATTTGTTACTTTTCAGCTATCTTACAGCAAATACTCAAGTATAAGTAGTGTGTTTTCATAAGATTAGAGTAAAATGTCAATTTCTTGGCATTTGAATTAACATTGCAAACCAGGAGACTCATATGAGCCCACAATGCAAATATCCACCCATTCCCTACAGGGAAGAAAAGAACTTCACACATGCACTGAACTCGTAATTTAATACCCATCTGTCACATGGAGTGAATTAGGCTAAACCCAATTGCAAACCCTTTGAGACTGGATTCCATTAAATGATCCTGATCCAAACATAACGCAACCTCTTAGGGAAGGGGTGAGGTTTTGCTACAAACTTAGTTCTAACGTAATATATTACTGAGAAATTTTAAAGCTCTGAAGCACTGGAAAGTAACTTACCCAAAACACTATGTGCTATAATCTTTCTCTAAGGCCTATTCTTATTTTTAAAAAGCTAATGCTTTTAAAGAATTTTGCAGATGATCACACTGGAAATTGATCCTTCCAATCTGAGATTAAATTCACCCTTAACAGTTTAGAATTAGATTTCTTCTCTGTGAAGAAGAGGCATTTGAAAAGATCAGAGGCATTATCACACTGAAGTGAGTGATACACTGGACATATGACAAAAGAACCACCTATTTTAATAATTCACTATCCAAAGGAGAAAAGAAAATCATATTTTCATTTTTGAATTATTGACTTTGTTTTCAAACTTACTAAAGTATAACTTCTAAATGAAAATACTGTGATTAGCAAGCAGGAAACAGAGACAGGACAAGATGCTAATGATTAACTGTTGGCAGTTGGCAACATTACTAGAGGCAAATGGGGACATCAACACCATCTTTGAAATGCCATACACAAGTTACGGATCTTTCATAGTGGAGCAAAGCCCAAAATATTTAACCCCAGATTGTTTAAGACGTTGTTTTAAAAGGGTGAATCAAATGTCAAAAACGCTTATAATCGAGTTACATATCACTTGTGACCCTAGAGGTTGAGTTTGGTCTTTTGCTTTACATGTGTATGTCTGAACCATTTAACACAAGGCTGCTTTGCACCCTAAGCAGATTACTATTTCAGTAAAATGCTTGGAATGGGAAAAGGTAATCTGTCCTGTCAAGTCCTTTCCTCCCACAGACCATGAACAATTCACTTTGACAGGACTGTGTGCGGCTCCATTAAATGATCTAAGAAAATACTATATGAAATTTCTGTCAGCTACAGCTCTCTTAAAACTAAATAACGGCCAGAAATTGGCCTGGGCCTTATTTCAACTAACACATCCCTGAACTGTGAGGCCTGAAGATCAATAGGATTTAGTCCTTGGGCCTCATCAGTGTTCTCATATAAACTGTTAACTCTGGTTGTGATTTCATTGGCAGTTTTCCGAGAGAAAAGTATTAATACTTCATCAGCAGCAACCTTTAGATAATTTCCCAATGCCTGCATCTTTCGTTGCTAATTAATTCCTTATTGGGGTTTTTCAACAGGTGTTAGATCCACTTTGCAATTTTAAATTACTCAATCTCTGTTCTTAGGTATTTGATCTCTGTGTCTATAAAAGTAGTCCCACAAATTTGTGATTGCATACCAATGTCTACCCAAATATATCTAGGCCCACAGGGAATGGAAGAAAGAGTGTTAGTGTGATGAAATTAATTTGGATTTTTGGTGCATGCATCAATGAAAATCAGCACAACTTTAATGGATAGATATCTATCAGGAGTTATAACTTGTCTTCTGAAGTTGTATAAAAAAGTCTTTCCATTTTTGCAGACAATCTCAGGCTAAGCTACTTTAGAAGACTATGCCCATCTCTATCCTGCATAACACAAAGCCATTAAGAATATTTTGCAGTTGATGTGATCTATGTCCCTCTGAAAAATGACAGCCTCAAATAGATTCAAGGTTACAGAATAGGCTATTACTAAAAGCTATTGTTGTTCCTGTGAAAGCAATGGCAAACACAACTATACAAAAGAAAAGGAACTAAGTATTTTATATTGAAAACATTTACCAGGTACTGGCCATCCCCTTTAATATAATCAGCAAAGTCAATCTGTGGATAAATGAATAGCCTATAATGTTACAATAATATAATCAACTAGAATTTCAGAAGACATCTTCAAAGTTAGAATCAACTAGTATTAAATTTAAGAGTGGTTTTAAATGTAACTTTTGCCATTGAATTAATTTTACTATCAGCAACATCTTGTCCTCATTAAATATCAAAGCTGCATTAATTGGATTTTACCCCAAGTATGATTGATTCTTTGCATCGCATTACCTTCATAAACGAATCATTATTCATGTGGCATATTGGACTATAACAAAGTTTGTTTACTTCCTTGTACAAATACTGCCCGAAGGGGTTGTGTCCAGGTTTCAAACAAAAATCTGTCAACTTAAACAGAATTCAAAGAGAAACAATTTATTTATGTCTGCACAGCTTTTTACTGAGTTAAATTTTCCCCTGACCTTTTTTCTTGCTGTTACTTTTAGTAATTAAGCATGTTTAACTATTTTATTGTTATCTTCTTCAGTCCAGATTATCTGTGATCCATCATTCTAAGTGCCACATGTGACAATTGTTCTTCTGAATTTGTAACTGATTTTAATCTATTGGAAGAGAAGACATGCATTATTGATGTTTAATATTATTGGACAAAATGGTTTGATAATAAGCTAAGACAATGAGCATACTGTGCTCAACTTAACATGAATTGTATTTGTGCACTTTTTTTTGTTTCGTATATAATAATGAATGATGGACCTGTAACTTAAATCTCACCCTTCAAGGATCTACAACTGATACACTGGGATTCAACCTACCTGTTTTTGGTTGCACTAATGTACCCAAACTAAATTGCACAGTATTCAGCAAACTGAGACCACCTCATTGCACATCTACATTACGGAACAATTGTTTACACTGCTTCACATCTAAATTCCTATTGTAATAATCTTTTGCAGTGCATTATTGTAACTGCACAAATTAACCCTGAACACATTCCTCTATTTGTAAAACATAGTTTATAGGGTCACAATTATAAAATAATTGTTTCCCTTCAATCGTGGGTATAATTCGAAAATGAAAAGATGGAACAGGGGTCAGAGGGAATTTGTGCATTTTTGTTGTAGACAAATGCTTTGTTTGAAGGCTACATTTCTGAAAGTGAGTACAACCACAGACCATGATAAACTCAAAAAGTATGGACAAAACTATATTGGATTTTAATGAAACAGAGACAGGATCAAGAACAAATTTTAATTCGTCCAATGCAAGAATTGCTTTAGTTATGAACATGATTTCATAACAATTTAGTGCAGCAAGGAACAAATCAATTTCTTAGTTACTTAGTTTCTGTATAATTTCATTTTAAACCACAAAACCACGTTCTACTTTGTAGCACAGATGTTAGCTAATACAAAACATTTTCTGTAATATCATATTTCACCTATTTCAGAACAAAATCTGAAAATGTGGTGTTCATCAGATAATATTCAGTCATAATGTTATCATCACATTGCAAATACAGATTGCTCCTCATCTGCAGGTGTGTCTAGATATTCATAAAACACCAATACTAGTTGGGAGTCTTAGCATCTTCAATACTTTTTGATAAGCCATCAGTTTATGCAAAACAAAATATGGAATATAAATTGTGAACTCTCATTCACTATTAGGGACCAAATAAAAATTAGTCAAGGTAGTCACAGTTTATGATGATATTGTTATAAGGTGCTATCTGAATGTGTATAGTAGTTAACATTCCACAGAAATTTGATTTAAGATTTTGAGCTTTAAGTTTTTTTTAAACTGTGATTTGTTGAGAAAACTATTATTTGACCCTCTTGCTAACTTTATCAAGCAAGATTATCCATTTTCTTTTAAAATAATTTTTGACTAACGTCTAACACCAGCCATAAAATGGATCAGTTTTGGTCCAAGAGATGTTTTGCTCTAAGTGCAATGATAAAAATCCACATCCCATGTTTTGGAATTCATCAAGTTTTTGTATTCTTAAGTAAGAATTGTCTAATAGATTCCCACGTTGTAGAAAGCATTTAATTGAAAGCACTATGAGCACAATTATGTTAGATATAGACGTTTAGAAATAGAAAAGATGTTCTCTTTTTGTGTTGAACAATCGTAATCAGCTTTCCATAATGTTTTCTTGGAATGGTTATTACTAGAAAGCTTGACGAAAATGTATCAGTGTGGAGAAGTGATATATTTTCTTTGCTTATGGAAGATTAGAAGCATTATTAGAGGCATGCGGGCACTTTAGGGAACATAGAGGTTTCACGACACAAGCTCTGTTTTGGAGACACTTTCCTGAATCATACCTACAAGTTCCTCAATCCTGCCATAAAGGTAGTTAAACAATTGCCACCATTGTTTTTTTAAAAAATGCAGATATTTGGTTGTAAGTAGTAAGAGAACAGTGCAATTTTAAAATTTTCTTGTTAGTTTAAGTGGCGTTTCACCTTTATCCAAAAGCACTGTGGGAGGTGGACCACCCCACTCTAGTAGCTCAGCTAGTTGGAATCAATGATGTGTAATAGCATTGTGCTTCGAAAAAGAAATGCATCAAAACCTATTTTTTCTGAAGTCACATCACTGCACCTGAATACACTTTAAAAATCACAGAATTAAATTGGACCATGTGTTTGGAGTCAAACTTGTGAAGTAATAGCTTAATCTCTGAGCACATCAGCTAATCATGGAGACAGTATACCTTTTAACCCATCTGGGATACATTTCAAATACATAAATGTGGATCCACATGCTATTGAAGCTGCTTCCACTTTTTCAGAATGTCCCATACTGTTTGTTCAACAATTCAGTTCAACTGCTTCAAACTATTCAAACAATATTGTGACAAAATACATTCTGTCTATGCCAGCAATTTGCATTCTGTCTCTTTAAGCTTTGGTACTCATTGGTATCACAGTGTGGACAACATTCATCTTGTTTCCTTCTGAAGATGTTTGTTAACCACTTTCCTTGGTACAAGGAATAAATATTTGGTACATACTTGTAAATACTTGTTTTACAGCACTTATTTTTTTGTTATTGTATTTTGAGCTTATGCTTCATGAGCATATTCATCATTGCAAGTAATGACGATTAAATCTGTTGATCGAGATTAAAATTTTACATTTGAATATTGCTGAATAAAGAGACATGTCGCTGAAGCTGCTCATATTGCATGAATCAAGACAGCTGAATGAATGCCAAGTTTCAAACAATCGCAACAAAGTACACTACAGTAGAAAAGGGTGCGAATTTGACAAGTGAGGTGTGATTGGCCAAGGCTTTGCCTTGCAGAGAGCGATGATAAACAATAGGCACTCCAGCTCCCAGATAATACAAATAAGGCTCAAGGCTTGAATATATTTCTCTTGTTTGCACTTATCAGCTACGATATATGAATTTATGTTGCTTCTAGCAAGCAAAAATGAGCCACAAATTAAATCAGTTGTTAATGTAGCTCTTAGTATGCTCAGAATTGTTCAGCCAGTGTATCTGAATTGCAAAATCACAGCTAACAGTTAATGTTTTGTTTTGGGTTTTGGAAAAATGAGCTGGTTAACTATATTTTGAACTCTGTCTATTATGAACAACCAAAGATGGCCATGCAAGTGTTTTTTTCCACCAATAGAATGCTGTAATTTTTCCCGAAAGACTTTTTGCCTACCTCACAATTGAGCAACAGTATATATGAATTTAAGTACCAATGTAATGCTAGGTACTTAGGTCATATGCCCCATTGATTGGCTGAGCAAATGAAACAGTGTGTTCCTCTGAATGCCCATGTTAAACAAAGTACTGAATATACATGACTAATCTGTACTTGCAATCCCTAAAGCAAAATGTTTCTTGTTAGATGTGATTCCATGATTGGGCAGCATTTGCAGAATAATTCTGAATATTACTGTTAGAAGTGTACAAGATTGAAAGCTTCAGCAACCTGTCCGTCTTTTCAGCAATATTCAAGTTCTGTACTACCAAGTGACAATTTTACATTTCTTTCTCATCCGGTTAGTAAAGATGTGCATTTGTAAAAATGTTAAATATCACTGCAATATAATTAATAAAGCACTCCGGCAATGCGGATAGTACAATGAACAGTTATTTCAGAATGTTTATTTGCACCTAATAGCTGTTGCAATTACTAGGACATCCATTGTGTCCTTGTTTAATCTTCAATCACACCTTCATTTCACACCCCCAAACCCCAAGCGTTGTAAAGCCCTTCCTTTTCTCTCTAGCTCAGAATCTCATCAAATCAATGGGTTCTTGTAGTTCATAGGACAATTCAATCACGGTAAAGTTAACTGATTTTTTGTTAGTATTCCATTATTAGGTTCAAACTGGAAGCCTTGTAGTGGACCTATTTATGCACCCTCCTGATCGTTGGTTAATTTATAATTTTACACATCAAAGCATCACAGACATTGTCACAACAATTTTGGTAAATTAAGTGGTGGCTGAATATGTAAACTATAAACATTGAAACACATAAAATAGTTGCAAGAGTAGACATTTGGTCCTTTGAGTCTGTACCACTATTCAATATGATCATGGCTGATCATGCAATCTCAGTATCCCATTCCCGCTTTCTCTCCATATCCCTTGATCCCTTTAGGCACAAGGGCCACGTCAGTTCCCTCTTGAATATATCTAATGAACTGGTCGCAACAGCTTCCTGTGGGACAGAATTCCACAGGTTCACAACTCTGAGTGAAGAAATTCTTCCTCATCTCAGTCCTGGATGGCTTACCCCTTATTCTTAGACTATGATCCCTAGTTCTGGACGTCCCCAACATCGGGAACATTCTTCTCACATCTAGCTTGTCCAGTCTCCTCAGGATTTTATATGATTCAAGAGACACCCCATCCGTTCTTCTAAATTCCAGCAAATACAAGCCCAGTCGATCCAGTCCTTCCTCATATGTCAGTCAAAGGGGAGAATTAAAACCTCTGCCTTATCCTGTTCAATCTTCACATCACTTAGACACTCTATCAAGGAACAAGCTAGCAATCTGCCAGACAAATATGACTTATTCAGATGTCTACAAGTTAAGTAATTTCTTGACTGAGATTTATATGTGTTTAAATGGTCTGCATAATGTAAATGCTCCCTGTGATGCAATACTGTTAATTATTTAACAATGTTTCATTTTTTGTACATTAGCAATGCTTCAATACAAAATATCATTAAATCACATCTTCCTTGAATGGATACAAATAATCATGCATTTCAGACTTGTCTTCAATATTTAAAAGCACAGTTTTCTTGAAATGGTGTCAATTTTGATTAACTTAAAATGTTTTCGAAGAAAATGCATAATTGGGTGGTGACATCCGTATGAAACAGCATGGACAAAGGGACTTTTTGCAAGAGGTGTTTTAAATCTATAAATGAAAACCTGGGGAAAACCCATGAGAGGCAATGATCCATGAAACAGCAAGGTCACAAAATGAGTAGAAGAATAATTAAGTAATTATGGATAAATATCTTCATAAAAGAGATGGATGAATAACCAGCTGGACATCAAATTGATTATTATTATAGCAGGCTGAAATTATCAAGTATTCCATGAGATATGGCAAGGTAGATTATTTGATCACGCATTTCAGCCATTGGTAGAAATCCTGAACAGAAATTGGAAGAATATGGGTGGAATATAGGATCATGAGTTGTATTCAAACTTCCAATTGCTTAGACCCACTTTAAAAATTATTAATTAGAGAGACCAATCAGAGAATCTAACGTACATCTGGGATTGAATTCAATTGTGGAAGGGAGATTTCCATGGTTCTGCAGTGGAAATGTGGATTGGATTAAGTTTGCTTGTTTTCCTTGTGGTTTTAAGGAGTACGCTTCCCAAAAATCAGAGCCTAACAGTTCAGGAAAGTTGTATATGCTTTTTCAGATCCTTAAATTCTGAAGATTTACTCTCAATGAGATTTATAATTAATGTTGAGGCATCTTTCTGTGACATTGGATAAACCCTAGAATGTCAAAGAGAAAACAAGAAGAAGCAGCTTCACTCACATTATTCCTTTAACATAGCAAAAATGCCCCATGACTTCACAGGAACATTACCAGAAAGGATTTGGTAACTAACAACGCATGGAGAATTATAAAAGGTGACCGAAATATTGTTCAAAGAGGCAAGCTATAAGAAAGCACAAAAGAGGTAGATTAGACACAGAATGCAAAAAATTTCTGTCAATTTAAGTAGATGTCCATATATTTCTAGTAACAATTAACCATTTCACTTCCACTATAAGTGATCACCCCTTAAACTAGAATTGAATGGATCATAATGTCATACTGCGCAGATAAGGCCATTCATGCCATTGAGTCAGCACCAGTGTATCTACACTAATTGCACTTTCTAACATTTTTCTCATGGCTTTGAATACTTTTTAAAGGTTGTGAGGTTTCTCACCCATCCCTCTAGCTGAAAATAACCTTTTCTCAAATCCCCTCTAAACCCTTCACCTTAAAATTATGCAGAGATCTCAGGAAGATGTGTTACTTGAGGATATTGCAAAGCTAGTGAGAGGTAAGGACATGCAAGGATTTGAAAACAAGGCTGACAACTGTAAAATTGAGATATTGCTGGACCAGGATCAGACGAAATCATGGAGCGTAGTGGTGAACAGTGACTGAGTTGGAATATGATTAGCTGGTTCAACTTTATGGAAGCTGGCAGTCAAACAGGAAAGCAATGGAATAGTCATAACTAGAAGTAGCAATAAGGGACATGAAGATTTTAAGCTGAAAAAAGCTGAAATAGGTATGGAGCTATCTCACTCACCCTAGCACAGTGTTAGCACTCTGCTGTGGGTATGGTCTGAGGTACCGTGGTTTATTTGCAATTGCTTATTTTCTGCTTGATAATTAAATCTGCTATTTATTATGAAATCTTTATGGAGGCTAGCTTAACTTTGCTAAAAACAGCTGGTTTACAATTAGAACCAGAGGCAACAAAATTCAAACAAGTATTGTTGACAATGGAGTAAATCATACAAATGCTAGCACAGTTTTAAGAAGAGTATTATAAACATGCCTCAAATACGATAATAAAAACCATAGAGCAATGAAAACTTCAGAAAGTAACAATCATCGAATATTGCAACTATGTTTAATTTGTAAGTTAGCACTTAATTGACATGAACTGTTAAAATACTTATAAGGATGAGAAATATCTACTATCCATGGGAAGCTAATTCGGTAAACTGACACCAGGAAAAGACAAAAATTGAATTGCCTTAAGCAAGTATTGAAGTTAGATCTGGTTCCATGATTAATAACAGATGAACTAACATGAGACTATTTGTAAGGTAATCAGGTACAGAGATTGTGATAATGCTTGATGTTTGAACCCAGTTACAATAACTGCTTTGCCAACCCTCCCTACCATTCCCACCAACGCATCCCCTCCAAATAAGGAGCATTTGCAATTGTCTCAATTTGAATTTCATGTTCTATTGTATTAGGGGAGTACCTCTTTCAAACTTAGAGGAGTTCCTTGCAAATATGAGGGAGTCTCCCAGTCTTTGTCACTTTAGTGGGAGCCCGAGAGTACTTAGATCTATTTTATTTGCATTAAGTACGTTGTGTCATTTATGCACAATTAAAATTAAAGAGTCTAGAGAAATTGGATAGGGAGAAGATGAACTCATGCAGTGACACGAACCAGTTGCTGAGGTCCGAGAACTCCTAAAACTAGTATCACAACGGCCATAATGATAACCACTCTAAAAGTGAGAAATGAATATGAGCAGTGGTGAATGGGTGATTGACATCCCTGAAAGTAAAACCTGATTCAACAATCTTCTTTATAACTGGATGTGAGTTTTGTACCAATGTGAAATGGTTATGGCCATAAGTCAATGATATGATCTTATTGGGAGAAATCTGCATAACATCACAGAGAACAATTCAAAGAGAGTTCTTCAGATTAAAGATGACTTTTGTTGTCATGAGAATCAAATGTCTTACTTAAAAATCTCTCCATGACCGCACGTTACCCTATCTCAGAAGATTTACCAGCTGTATGCACTTCCAATTCTGATCTCTTGTGCTTCTTCAACTCCACTCACTCCCTCATTTGTAATTACAGATGGAATCTTTAAAGGGTCTGAGCATTGTGTACTGTCACAGAATTGCATGAGAGGTCTGGTAAGGCCTATCTTGATGTCACGAGCACCTCAGGTGATATCTGTTGCGTTTGACCCACGATGCGATGCGTTTCTCACTAGGCAGTGGCAAGTTGTCAATAAGGGAGATTATTGTTTGCTTAATTCCCTTCCAATTGGCCCAACTCACCTCATTAATATTCACCAAATCCGTCAAACAAGCTCGACATTAAGAAATGTCAACATGGAAGACAAAGCAGGTAGCTGGCGACTTCAGCTTGCCATTTACTCTGAAGGAACCACACCCCCACCCCCACCCCCAACCCCCGGCCACGTGTTAGCCACGTGGCACCAATGTCTTCGGGTACACTCCATAAGCACCAGTCACACATATCCTACAATCACAAACGTTGGCATTTGATATATGTCAGTCTCTAAGAACACTCACAACATACATTATGTCCACGGTACAGGGCATGTCTGCTCCTTAACGTTGCACCTTGGGCTGTACCTGCAGCTATCACTGTAATACTGTAGCAAGAAACACTGTGCACTCAGGGACACACACCCAGCTTATAGACTGGACCAGGATCCATGTCCAGGTTCTCACTAGCTGTGATGGAGTTCATTCACTCCGAGCCTAGCTGGATGCTCACATTATCCTTGCCTTTATGCACAATGACCCCCAGCAGCAGATATCAGGCTTGGATTACTGCTGCCTTGCCTTGCTGTTCAGTGCAGACACAAAGGAACAAAACTTGTCATGTTTGTCAGTATTGTGGGCTCCATTTCTTTTGCAGGGACTGTGTGCAGCATTGTCTTCCAAGAGTGGAAGCCAATCTACTCATACACCAATTTGGCACTTGCAGATCTTCCCAGCATCTGTGCCACCTTACAGGGCACGTTGATTGTCCTTTGTCAACTCAAGGGAGATAGCCTTAGCTTGGGGGTC